CCCCAATTGTTAGTCCCTAAAGTGTAGGAGGGGCAGATGCAGAGCAGTGAAATCCAAAAACTTTGTGGGTTGGATCCCTGCCCAAGACACCCTTATAAAAAAATTGCAATCCTAAACCAAGCTTGCACAAGCTTGTTATAGCTGGTAGCTTGTTACCGTCTTAACTGTAGCTGCAGACTATATGGGAGCTTGCAGAGAGCAGTCCCAGAAATCTTACAACATACAAGTAAGTTGCTCATATGATCTTGTTAGCAAACCCTGCAGATAAATTAATTATCTATAAAATGAATATATGAATAGTGATGGTGAGAAATATAATTTCTATAAAATGTAATATTTTGGGTTTGAAATCATTAATTTGCATATCAAAACAATAATCTTTACTTTTTTTATAAAGATATTAAATTTCCACTTCTAATTTTTATTTGCTTTCTTTTAGTTTGTTTTTTTTATATAGCATTTGTATAAACTATAGGGAAGTATACATGCAGGAGCAGTGTTGATATGATATATTTGACAAGTAACACCTAGGATTTACATGCATTTGTTGCAACCTAATGGATATAAAATGAATTTTTAATATATATATATATATATATATATATATATATATATATATATATATATATATATATATATATATATATATGTGATGCACACATCTTTACAAGATAGGTGTCTTTTAGACAACAAATGCTATTAAAACTATATAATTGATCTATTGCAACAACAGAATATGTACCAAGCTTTAAAGATGAGTATATACAGGATTCACAAAAATAGTAATAAAAAAGTGTAAAATATTATATATATGGTTCATGTCTTCTATTTTGATGTACAAGTCAGCATGTTCCAGATTTTCTACATGCATGCATACTTATTAGTCATATTCAAAAATTTGGGAGACACACAAGCAAAAACAGTGTCCTTGCCAAAATTTAATTGGATATACACACACATCTTTGACACTTCTAATTGGAACTATATTGTACTGCACATACTTAGATTTCAAAAGGATTATATTACTAACAGGATTTTCATCAATCATACCAGTATTAATTCTCATTTTCTTTATGACTGAGCACAATGGTGAGAAAAGGTCAGTTCGACAGAGACAGATTCGATTCATGCAATGGCCATCTGAGTTATGCATTGGCATGGTATTTTGAATGGATATTTGCAGTTTTTCAGTCTTTTGGTAATTTTGAATCTATAAAAGATGTGTGACAGAATGTCAAATCAAGCAAAGGGCTGGGGTCATGATAGCAGTCCTTGTGTTAATTTATAGTACTGATCAGGTGATTTGGTGCTTTCTTGATAAAACGTCTCCAATCTGTGCTCATACTTTATCGAAAAACAGTATTGTCAAAAGGTGATCAAATTGAATAAGGTCATGTTCGCTTATCTTGGAACCAAAAAGGTAAAAAAAGTAAAGTATTCTTTTAAATAAGTACTTTTTTGATTTAAATATTGATTCCAAAACCAAAACAATGATTTACTAAATGAAAAGATCTTGCATTAAGAATGGAATTATGTTTTTCTTAAACCGAGAGACAGCAAGAAAATGAACAACCAAGCTAATAGCAAGGTTTCTCAATCCCTGCTGTATTTAAGATTGAAAAAAAAAAAAACTGGCTTATAGTCAAATATGCAGGATGACTTTTCTTGCCAAAGACATCATCCTAATATCCTTAAACCTAAGAAAATTTAAGAAATGAGGAGCAAAAAAATATGGACCAGGCCCATGTCAAAGTTAGTACTTCTCCAATGTCTTTTGGTGGCTGAGGTCATTTTGCGCAGGTAAACATCATCATCATCGCAGCCTTTTTTTGGTGGAATCACAAAAGCATCTCACAAATTATCAGGATGTGCAAATGTTTCATAGAAAGAAAATGTATCAGTGCTTTTATTTGTTTTTGGTATGAAGGTGAGATGAATTGGTCTATTCAGAACATCACAACAGTATTGAAACCAGGCAAAGAACAAGATGTAGACAACAAGGGAGAACTAATTGTGTTCTCTAAGTCCCAAGGCGATGCAGCAATTGGGTAAGTCAGAGATCTATGACTTTGTTAATTCTTAAAATAAATTTTAAATGAGTGTATATACTATTGTATTGCCTACTTTACACATATGTTCACTCATGGGTATCTGCAGGATTTTTTCAGGTGGGTGGGTGGTTGGGCAAAACCAATAACAAACAGGCAAGCCTTCCATACAGACACAAAAGAAGATATAAGGTGGGGGGGGGCACTTGCTAAGATTAATGGTTTAGCTCTTGTTTGCAGTTTACATTAAAAATTTGGAAATGAAATGCCAATGAACACCTGGGGTCCCAACCACAAAGTGAATGTATTGGTAAAAAGGTATTCAACTCCCAATAAATTTTCTAAGAGGCATGTTTTGTACTAAATATAGATATAAAGGTATAATTAAGAGTTGCCTAGTCTTTCTAGATAACAAGAGATGCTATATTAATCTAACTTGGTTGACAAGATCAGCACAAAATGGAGGCATGCATGTGGCAAAGAGATTAAAATCAGATTAATATTGTAATCTCCTTAGAACTAATGTATACCCCAATGAATGTTCTGTATCACCTATTTTGTTCAAATGTTGTCTTTTATGATTTCTTTTGTAAGGGCTGTTTCATTATTTAAACATACATGTTACCCTGGGAAAGCAGTTTTTTAAAAAATCATATGCTGGGGTACTCTGATTATTCATCAGGTTTATATGAAATTTATAAATTTCTAAATTGCAATTTAGGATGATTACTCCAGATAAGAAGTGCCTTCCCTAGGTCCCATGTATATTTAAATGAAACAGTCTAAAATAAATATCTTCAGTCGTGGCTATTTTATGAAGCTCATCTTCAAAAAGTGGTATATACTTCACTCCAGTTCTAATTCAGAAGTCAACAGAACCGTATGTATTAATTACGGCATGTATATAAGAATGCCTTGCCTAACTGGGCAGCTCTCTTGTTATTCCATGTCAGATAAAGATTTGTTTTTCCATGTTAAATGTGTACATTAAAACAATAAGCCAGCAAATTAAAACATGAAAAAGACAAGGAGTTGTCACCATAAGCTCATGTAGTCCAAATCCACTTGAGCCTCTTTGTGAGAAATCATTGCCATTTGTATGCAGAAAATTCATGGTTTTGCCCTAGAAAATAGACTTAAGAGGAACTGGTGCTTTCTTGTCAAAAAACTTCTTCCTGAGGGTAACTAAATATATAAAGATGCTTCTTAATGCTGAATGTATTTTTGTGGTGAACCTGAATTATATTACACATATATGTTTTTTAAAAATAACATACCTAATTACCCTTCCTTTTTTGGCTAATTGTAACCTGAACCCACACAAATAATTTTTGTTTGGCCTTATGAATGACTTCAATGAGTTTTTTTTTTTTTTAGCTTTAGTTGTTGGTAGGACACAAAGTTTGTAAAAATGATCATTAAAAATTCAAAAAAATTAATGAAGTTTATTTCTCTCCATCTCTTCAATCGCTGTTCGATATTTTCTGGCTGGCTGTTACAGTTCAGCTTAGCACTGGGTCAATTCTAAAGAATATTTTGTGTAAATTATTCACTCGCCATAAAAATCCCCAGTGCCCAGTGTCAACACCCAATTCATGCATTGTACATATTGTGCTAATCATAGTTCTTTACTTACAATTATTACTGGTAGAAAGCAAAAATGAACTGAAGAAAGATGGACTGAAGCTGTTGGTGGAACATGGGTGTTTCAGATGCTGAACTAAAAAGTAATATTAAGGGAAATAAAGGTATTTACATGTCAACAAAATTACGAAACATACAGATTCCCATGTAGACCAAAATATGGCCTTGCTTGAGCCTATTGATGTGGCAATTCATTTTTCTTGCTCATAGAGCAAGGCATCTCAAATCCAGTGGTTCATCCTTAATGTTTTTCATAAGAAAACGCTTTTGTGGATGTAATATCAAAAATATACATAAACAATGTTTCACCACACACACACACACACACACATATATATATATATATATATATATATATATATATATATATATATATATATATATATATATATATATATATATATATATATATATATATATAATCATTTCTTCAATCATTCATATTTGGTACAGATATTCTTAAACTGTTACGTGATGTCTTGATCACTGAAAATGTAACATTATTTCTTGCTGTAAAGAGCAAAGATAAATTGAAGGATGGGAACAAGAAATAATTTGAATATGATCCAAACCTACCACCCAAGAATGTACACAAGCAAACAAGTGTCCAATAAGAAAAAGGAAAACAAAGATTTGACTGTTTGATTTATTATTGTCAGTTTTTGTTTGAAGCTATTGCCCATCATACTACCACGACTAATATAATAAAGATATATGAACTGCCTAATGTCTAAAAACTATAAGCACTGAACATAAACTGAACATAATTTAAAAACACATAGCAGCAATTATACATGTTCACAACTGTACATTTATATACATTGGACAAATGTATACAATTTTACGAGCATAAAACAAAAAGTGCAAGTAAACATAGTCTCTCTAGAATATATGCTGGTATTAATGAAACCAAGTCTGTTCTTTGAAGGAATAGCCTAAGCATGTCTTAAGAGCATTTTTTAATGAAGTGATGTGGTGTCACCATGATAATTATATTAGGACATAGCTGCTTTACCTGGGGTCATTTTAAATACTGTCATTTTTTTCTGAAATTATTTAATTTGAATGAATTTCAAAGAAAACAAAAGATCTGATTATAGATTTTAACATGGAATGTCTGAAACAGCTTTGAAACATATATATTACTATAAATTACATTCAGCTTCAAACACGGCATAATAATTTTAACAGGGAAATATTTTATATTTTATCATCATAAAGGTGCTATTATAAAATTCTAAGAATTCCCTCCTATAGAACTTGACAAGGCATGACACTGATGGGAAATATTAGAACATGAAAGAGATCGATCTGGTGGCCTAGTGGTTAGAGGGTCCGACTTGAAATCGGGAGGTCGATGGTTTTATTCCCTGTCGAGTCATACCAAAGACTTACAAAAATGGTACTAACAGCAGCCTCACTTGGCGCTCAGCATTAAAAGGTTAGTGTTAGGACTGGTTGGCCTGGTATCAGGATAATGTGATGGGACAGCATGCTACATGTCTGCAGCATTATCAGATGCCCCAGTACTAGACATCTCTATAAACTGCCACACTGCAGACATCCTAGCAATATGACTGAAATTTTTTTAAAGCTACCTTAAAAATCATAATCACATCACATCAGAACATGAAAGAAATGGATCTGATTACTTTCTCAAGTGTCATTATCCCAGCATATAAATATATATGACCATGTATGACTTGTAACTCATTTCTTTCCCCACTGTTGCAACTTAATGGCTGATATATGCTTGTTTCTAAGCTGTCTTTGGTTTGCAGAAAAAATGATGTAATTATGTTACTCTGTATTTGATATACTTTTAATTTAGCTTGGGTAATATAGGTCTGTATAACAACTTAGCAACTATGGAACATGTTAAGGTCACTTTTGTCCCTAGAACCATGGTAGCTCAGCATGCTGGGTAGTGTCAATCAAAAGTTAAGATTGATTGAATAGAGAGAAACAAAGACCTGATTGTACTTATAGTCTTAGATAATATGTCATAAAAAGAAAGACTCCATTATTTTAGAAATTTGGAGATCACAAGGTTCCACTTGCTGATGGTGCTTAAAGTGTACATAACCAAGCAAGAGAAGTCAAGTCTAGCCATTTCTGGCTTCCACCAAACCAGAATGGTTGTGATTCTCATATAATAGACACCCCCTTTGACCAAAAGTGGTTTGCAGACATATCAGCATTTGGGTCATGTAGTGCATCAAACAAAAAAGAAGGGTCCATGGATTCTACCAGTGCCTGAACAGGTAAAAAATGCAATTGAAGGTATGATCACTCCTAATAACCTTACAGATGGTAACCAAAGATATGTTGATAATGTGGAAAAGTTATTGATTTGAGAAAGTCACTTTACCCAACTTCCCTCAGAACTAAAAAGCAGCACACATATTTAATTCAAGAGTAAAAATTAATGAGGTTTTCCTCCTTGAAAACACCATACAATTTTGAAAGAAAATGAGCTAACTAAACAAAATTTTACATGTATATACTTTGAAGCTAATTTCTAATTACAAATTAGTATAAAATGGATTGTTGGTCATAATTATAACATAAATAATTTTATTCTTCAAATTTTGCACAATAACTGTTTTATTTGCAAAAGACTTCTGCTGAACTATGTTAAGGAATGTAGCTACACAAGCCTTCTTAACAGCTTGAAAGTTCAGAGGGGGTGTCTCACTCTTCAGATTACTTTTGGCTGAGGAAATGAACACATCTGGCTCTCCAATGCTGAAGTACTTAAAAGCCCCAATTGCATGCAGACAACAAACACAATCCATAGTCAATTTTACTTATCCAGTTTCATTTCTAAATCAGACATATATTTCATTTTATCCATGTTTCTTTTATTTTCTGACTAATCATAGTGACATATTTCTTCCTCCTATTTCTTTGACCTTGCAAAACTGAAGCTATCCCAAAATAGCACTCTTAGTCATCACTCAGAACTTCAATATATGCCTTATAATAAAAGTTTGTTTTTCCACCAGAGAAGCACTCCTTAGAACCACCTAAGAAAAAGACAAATATGTGACCTGGGTCAAGAAAACAATAAAGAAAAAAGTCACAGGGTCTGAAAATTATAATGCCAAGCCTGTATATTCTTCAGAAAGTGCCATTTATGACCACACCAGGGAAATTTGTAACAATGGGCTATGTTAGTGTTAGGTACATTTAATATAATTGTCTGTTAATTTTACATTTTTTATTTATTACATGCTATTGTAATGTAACATTGTTTGCTGGACTTGACCTTGTCCAAAAATGAGTTTAATTTTCTGCTTGACATGATTGACTTTTCATTTATGCAAACAATTTATAATAGCTTCATTATTCTCTATAGGTAGGAGCTTATTATCAGGATTATTATACAGGTAAACAAGAAGGAGTCTATATGTTGATCAGGGTTGGGGTTTTGGAGATTCCTAAGTGAATTGTATAGGCTATTGTGTTGTAAAGAAACAAAGTTCATTAGATCATTCTAGAAGGTTATCTTCCATTAGGTAATGGATGTGTTTGGAAAATGCTAATTGTAAATTGAGGTCAAGCAGAAAACTATATTTTATTATATGCTCATTTTTTTCTCCATTACCTTTATATTGTCAGAATTGTTCAGCATTTTCAAATATTGGACTGGTGCTATTAATACATATTGAATTCACATGAATAAAGTAACTACTTTCTACTGTAAACAAACAATTCATTACAGAATAAACTAAAGCAGATGCTTAGTGGACTGCCACATACCAACAACTGCCCAGTGATCCTTAACTTTTCTGATACAATGTTTTAGATTAAGGCTAGCTATAGACACCAGACATGGTTGTCACAAATAACATGCAAGTCACAAGGCATGAACTGTCTTCTTTAGCTGGTAATAAGAATGGCAAAAAACATACTTAACAGTTTTGCATCTTGAATTTCCTCAAAATGTACTTTCTTAATTTGAAATTCCAAAATGATATGAACCATGTCATGGGATCTCAAGCTTGACTACACATTTCAAAATTGTAATGTAATTTCAAGTATATTCCAAGTGCAATTATATCCTCCTTACTACACTCAAAATGAAATAAACATAAAATTCCATAGCCTCTTTCCAATAATTGCAAATGAAGGACTTCATATTTTTCACACAATATGATTTGAAACATTCAATGACAGAAGAGAACAAGAAGGGAGAACCTCACTGCTTCAATTTGATGTATATTTCAGACACTACTGACTGAAATACAATGTATTTTGTTGCAAACTCCTGCTCCCCTTAAGATTCCTTATTTTCAAAAACAAGCAGAATTTGTTTTGTGAGACAATTGTCAACATCGAATTTCAATTTCTGTATTGTTCAATTAGTACCATATTGATGTCATGATTTCAATGGAATTAATAATTAAACTTCTTATCGTCCCTTAGGATATCTCTAAGTGCCAGTTCAAGAATTCTCTGAAACTCGCTGTAACCTACTATGGTCTATCTGTGAAACCAGGCTCTTTATTTTACAAAGCATTCATTTTGCTTGATTGCCTTGCTATCTTTGATCACAGTTACCAATGAGTTGATGGTGTTTTTGTTACATACACAATAACATTTATAACAGTGATTGATCAAATGAAGTAAGTTCATCTGACATTTCTAGATTTTAAGTTTGTCGTATTTTCATGCCTTTCATGCCATTTAACTTTTCTTTTTATTCCTGCTTTTTTAATTGATTCAAAAGACATAATTAATATGATAATACAAAGGAGTCAGCTTTTAATTTAGTTCAATATTACAATATTCCACATGTTAGTTATCAAAACAAATTCTGCTTATAATAAGGTTCTCAGAGAAATGCTTCTGTATATAGCTGTTATGGTATAATTGACACATTTTACATTTAATTATAGAAGGGCATGTTGCATTTATGATGATTAAACTTAAAAGTAACTAAAAGATAGAACTAAAACATAAATTTCAATTTAAAAAATTATTTAATTTGTATTTATTTATTAACATACTGCCTACACTGAGCGTGTCATTTTCATTTATCAAAATTTCCTTTCATCTTGTTAAATGCAATGTATGACCATTTGGATAGAAACTGTAAAAAAATTGTATGGCTTATTTTTAAATATGATATTTCATAATGTTGATTACAATTTCAGGTTCTATCTACCTTTTCAATGATCAAACAAGCGATATATCAAAGTTTCATTTACTAATTGTGATTGGGGACTCTGAGTAGTCTAAAGCAACATTACCACTCATTGCCATCTCACCTATGTAAGTGTGAGTTTGAGTCCAGACTTGGCAAATGTGGGTAAGTGAGAAAGCCTGCCAGTAGCTTCTCATGGGTCGAGGGAGTGGTGTATATACAGAACTATAATATGTTGAGAATAGCAAGTGGTATCATGGGGGTTGTCAAAATTTTTTAAATAACGGCATTTTGAAAGAAAAGTTATTTATAACTAAGTTTGATCTTGTTTTCTTTTTATCCTTATTGTTTTATACTAGTGTGATCTGGTCACAGGGTCCATAGTAGAACCATGTTATAATTAGCATATCATTAAAATATTAGGTGCAATATAACATGGGAGAACTATCGATTGGCACACATCCAACAACTGCTAAGTACAATATTTCTAAAAGCATCCTCTATGCCTAGACAAAAAGAGACTTTTTTCAGTCCATTCAGTGGAACCATACCATTCAGTGGGACCTATACCAGACATTGTCCTATCCACTAGAAAAAGAATAAGAATATCAACAGAAATGGAGCAGAACTATGCACTGACACTGACAAATAATGACTGACTTTGTGACCTCACACATATGGACTTAAGAGAAATGAAGTCCCACTCAGGTGGAGAACTGAATTTTTCAAAAGCTCCTGCAGGATTAGAAACATAAGTAAAACATTTTGTAAATTGTTTGACAAAATTGTGTGATGCAATGGAGAATGACAACAGATTTATATGGAATATGGACCCCAGACTCCAGTTCATTCTGACTTAAATTTCTGGTAAAACTATAGAAGGCTGTGTTACAGTAGGTCAAAGTTTGATCTTCAAGTGGAGAAAAGCAACATTTGTCTAAATTTGTACAGCAAAAGGCAATCTTCTTCCACCCCTTATCTTTAAAAGATAAAAAAGGCCCAAAGGTGAAATATCTGAAAGAAGTAATTGCTCAAGTTCTGAAGAAAAGCTGGATGAAAAAGGGTATGCTGAAACTGCACATGATAGTAACATGATAAAGGCACTTGATAATACAGAAATGCCCTCACTGCTTGTGTCAGACTTGTTGTATGGACAAAATATTAATGTCATAAAAAGTGAAATAAGAAAAAAAAAACACATGGCTTTTATCCCAAAAGGCAGCACAAGT